CCATTGTAAACATCTGTTTTCAGAAATTTATAATAAGAGGGTTAAAATGGACTGTTGGGTGAGACTTGGCAGAAAAGCAGCCACCGAACATTTGTTTACAAATTCAGTCACAATCTCAACCGCACCAGAAAGTGTATTTTTAAGTCCCAACTAGCCTTACCTGCAATCTATTCCAGCCAACGAAGAGGGAAGTCTTCTTCAGCTCTGCTCTTACCTATTATACTGAAGGATTTAGCTACGTTTAACTGGTGAAGGTGAAAACCTGGGTTTCTTGACATTGATTTTGCCACTACCAAATCTGGCCTGTGTCATCTCACAAGATGCGTACTGAAGGAAACAAAGGCTGCTGCAGAGCATTCACAGCTTACCGTAGAAGATGCACAGTGACTGAGGCGTGTGCTCCAGGCACTGTAATGAGTGTAGATATATATATATCCAAGATCCCAGACTGATCTCTCCTCTGAAGGCTGGCACCTCTAACAGCCCATTGCTTCCTAACAGCATGCTGGGGGATTGGCTCAGTAAGAGGATCACCTCCTGAATCACCTTAGTTGGAAGGGGTGAACACTGCTGAATCTCCTATTAGAGGTAAAATAATGCTGTACAGGGCGTCACAACTCTCTGACTGACACACTTGGTTCTGTTTCCCTAATTCTAGAGACCTAATACAATGAACGGTATTTTACAGTAAATCTCTCTCTTTTATTAAAAAGAAAAAGAGGACTTGTGGCACCTTAGAGACTAACAAATTTATTTGAGCATAAGCTTTCGTGAGCTACAGCTACATTGGCCAAGCTGGACAGTCTCTACGTAAAAGAATAAATGGACACAAATCAGACATCAAGAATTATAACATTCAAAAACCAGTTGGAGAACACTTCAATCTCTTTGGTCACTCGATTACAGACCTAAAAGTGGCAATTCTTCAATAAAAAAACTTCAAAAACAGACTCCAACGAGAGACTGCTGAATTGGAATTAATTTGCAAACTGGATTCAATTAACTTAGGCTTGAATAAAGACTGGAAGTGGATGTGTCATTACACAAAGTAAATCTATTTCCCCATGTTTATTCTCCCCCCCTCCCACTGTTCCTCACACGTTCTTGTCAACTGCTGGAAATGGCCCACCTTGATTATCACTACAAAAGGTCGTCCCCCATCCCTCCCCTGCTCTGCTGCTGGTAATAGCTCACCTTACCTGATCACTCTCGTTACAGTGTGTATGGTAACACCCATTGTTTCATGTTCTCTGTGTATATAAATCTCCCCACTGTATTTTCCACTGAATGCATCCGATGAAGTGAGCTGTAGCTCACGAAAGCTTATGCTCAAATAAATTTGTTAGTCTCTAAGGTGCCACAAGTCCTACTTTTCTTTTTGCGGATACAGACTAACACGGCTGCTACTCTGAAACCTCTCTTTTATTAGCGTTTCTGGTCTGTTGATTTGTTTCCTATTTTACGATGTTTAGACAGAGAGATTTGAACCATTAAAACTCCACTTAGGCTTGATACACTGGGGCTGCCTGACACACAATAACACTGATATATGTCCAGATGAATCTCTAATTAGATTTTTGGCAGGACTGTCACAGTCAGAGAAACTTTCCCTATGTACTCCATTGAAATGATGCTTTCTGCAACCTCATGTAATGAAGGCCATCTTTTAATTAAGCAGGTCCTCTCAAAAGGACATCAAACTTAATGCCCTTTTTCCACTGGCCTTTGCCCTTGCAGAATCAGCCTTCTCAAGCATACTCCTCCATGGCATGATTTAGGCAGTATATTAAAAAGTACATAAAACATACAAAAGTAAGTAAAAAGTGATATCCAAAGCTTTCCATGAATGTTACAGTGTATGTAGGATAACAGTTATAAACCCAAATGCCAGTTAGTTTGGGAAATTATTATTATTTATCTAGTCCTTGAAAAGCTTAGGACCAGAAAATGACTATATGATTGCACAATAGTATCAGTGTTGTGTAAAATCTCAAATTTTATGACTGTTTTATTGTAACTGTTGAATGAAAGAGCCTGTTAAATACATTTTCTGTTTGCAATAAAATGTAAATGAAATATTTTGACCTGATTGAGGCATCTAGGAGCTACTGGAATATAAACTTTAAATAATAATATATAATTGTATATAACTACACTGAAGATAACGGAGTTCAATAGAGCTATGCAAGTTTACACCAGTGGCTTAATTTGGCCAAATTTTCAGGTGGTGGTGGACAAATATTTGTGCATGCTGATTTATGCATGCAATATCAGATGTGCACGTGCAAATAATGAATGAATACTAAGGCTTCAGTTGTGCAGTCGGCTCTTATAGCCTGGACCTGTACACTCAGACAGAGACCCCTTGACATCAGTGAGGCTCTGCAAGAGTTCAGGGATCCATTGTAGCAGATCTGATTGTGGGTTCCTGAGCTGTAACCAGTGAAGCAGCTAAAATGGCCACATGTGCAGGACCAAAATACCTGCTTTGTTAGGCGTGGATAACTGCAATATGTGGGGAAACAAAAGTTAAACAAATTTGTTATAGTCTAAATCCTATAAATCCTGCATTTCACTGCCGAGCGTCTGTTTATTCCCTCGTGGATTTAAGAACTCTCTAGCGATGTGAATGGAAGTTGCCTGTGTTAATTGCTGTAAATTGAGAAAAGAATACAAAAGCTCAGAAGTATGACACAGGGGGAAGCAGCCAGAATGCCCACTCAAGGGCTTGACAGTGGAATATGAAGCTTTTCACCTTATAACAGCCAGTTTGAATCTAGCTTAGGTAAGGATGTTATTGGTGAAATTACTAACTGCTTAATAGAAAAAGCCAGGCAAGGCTGGCATACATTAAACCTAAACCTTTGTAACTAGACACAGAGATCAAGTCTGTGATACCGTATTACATTTCTTGAAGATGATGATATATGTTTGCTTTTAAGAAGTTAAAGGGAAATCAGAGATACAATTAACCACTGCGTTAAAATAATCCACTTATCTCCATCATTTAAAACAGTTTAACAATGCCTTCATTGTGCTTATGAGGTCAGTGAACAAATGAATTCTATAAATAAGATAATACAGGAGCGGGCTTAATGGAACCTGCCTTGCACAGAGTGAAGAAAGGATGATTAAAATGTTACTCCCCCTGGCAACCATCACTGTATCCTTTCCACCCTGTTTTAGTTCATATTGATGAGCACTCTGTCATATGAATAGATCCAGTAAAGTCAATCCTGGACCCCTGCCATGGTCTGGAGCATTAAGAAAGTGAGACACCTTGGGTGAGTAAATGCTCACCCATCTGTTGTTGGCATCTTTTCATCTACGAGAGATGGTGGGAATCGCAGCCTATGATGTAGCTGGTGTCTCATGTGACTGAATAGTCCTAAGAGAGATTTGCATGATCTTTGGCAGGTATTGCAAATGTATGTATCTTGGTTGGGAGCTGCTTGCTTCCTACAGGCTCTTTTCTCTTCAAGCTCTTCAAGGAGCCAGCCCCTGTCATGGACTTTGATACCCTGATGGAGATGACGGTGCCACTTATTATGATCACTTGCCAAGATTTCCCATTGGTCAGGATCAATTCCAAATTCCTTCAAATTTCACTTTATAGCGAAGTTTCTTCTTGTTCCCTCTGATAGCTCCCTGTATAGAGCATGGGTATGAGTCCACGAGGGATGTATAAACTAGCCCTTCATATGAAAGGGCCCAATCGTTCAACAGACATGTTCTGCTGAGTGCTTTCCACTCCCTTTGACTTCAGTGGGAGCAGAGTGCAGGGTGGGCCCTGTAATCTGCAATGTGAACTGTTGTGGAGTAGAACAGTGAATGTCTGGATTCGGGTGGACTCCATTTGGTTTAGTGCGCTGTTGGATCACAGTGCTGGCATGAAGGAAGATCATAATGGTTGAAGTTTGATATTCACATTCAATGAGAAGAAGAAAGCAGAACAACCAGGAGATTAAACAGGCAGCCCTTGAATTCAAAAATTGCATCTTGGCTTTCTGCAAAATTCTCACAGAAAAGCAACGGCTCCACTGATGGGTGTGCAAATTGGTGTTGATTAGATATGTTTAGAGCTTAACAAAGGGGCTCCTTTCGCTTTCAAGCACAAACTTGGCACAAAAATATAATAGACATGATTTCTCAGCAGCTTTACATTTTCTATGTAATTTTAAGAAATCACCAAGATGACCCACTAGTAACAATGGTTGTGCTGAGAGATTATAGCAATTTATTCATCCCTATGGCCCTGATCCACCAGCATACTTTGGCATGTGCCCAACTTTAAGCACCTGAGTAGTCCCATTGACTTCAATGGGACTATTTACATGTTTAAAGCTAGGCATGTGCTTAAGCACCTTGTTGAAGTGGGGCCCAGATACCAGTGCAATATGTATAAATTGTTACTAATATATTTCTCTCCACTCAGATAAGTCTGATCCTGCTTCCATTGAAATCAATAGGAATTTTGCCATTGACTTCAATGGGCTCAGGACTGGGCCTATATTTTATTCTATTTTATACACACTCATCACAGTAGTGTTTGAGATACTTTAAAGGATGATGTGATCAAGTCAATCATTCTAAAACCAAAACAGAAACAGGTAACTTCTTGTCTTATTTTGCTGTAGTTTTTCATTTGATAAACTGCCTGTTTACTAGGCACAAACCTATTTGGAAGGTCTCCTATATTTTAGTTGTCAAAACTTCTGTATTGGACTGAATTTTTGCTTATGTACCAGTTCTCATAATATTTCTTTGACCATTTGGAATGTACAAAACTTTCCTGATTGAAAATATTGTAAAAATACTTTCATTACTCAAAACTGGATTCCCTTTTTTTTTTAAAGGATGAGTTATTGGGTGGATAATTTGATCTGATCTCTTCTCTTTGGACCACCGATGATGATAACATAATAATTTATACATCTTTCATTTGAGGATCTCAAAATGCTTTGCCAACATTAGCTCATTAATCATTACAATGCTTTCAGGTAAATAAGGGACATACCAGTTCAGGAATCACTTCTGCAATACAGCCAATTCCAGAGGGAGCAGAGCAGCTGTTTAATAAAGCACATCAACATCACAGAATGGTGAAGAACAGGAAATAAAGATACATGTTTTAGGTAGGTAAAACATAATTAATTGCAGTGGAATGTGGATATAATACTGGGGCTAATACTGCTCATTTTAGGAAAGTGCCCTGAGATCTTTATTAACTGCAATTGGACAGGACCATCCTTTTATGCCTCATGTAAAAGTTAGCATCCCTAACAGCACAGTACTACTGTACACCATGCTGGGGCACTGGTTTGACACTGAATGAGAAGGAAGAGTGACACCAAATGAAATACCAGCGCTACTTCCTGCCAGTGCCTAGGTAGTGTATAGAAAATCTCCAAATGAGTTCTGATTTGAGCTTGTGCCTCATCTGGCTTTGCTGTGTGCTCTAATATGAGCCAAGTACATTACAAGGTGGTATGACTTTCAGCATAGTAACCAGGCCCCAGTCAGCCGACAGTGCACAAGAGTGGGAGGAGGACTTGGCCAATGCCAGTAGAACAAGTAAAGAAGTTTTTTCTTGCTTGCTGTTAAAGTGGATGTACCCTGCACCAGTTCTCTTTATGGGGCTGTCCATGTGAACCCTGTGAGTGTAGAATATGTCTCTCAATGCAGTTTGAGGTTATTGCCTCCAGTCTCTGTCTAATGATCTGTTCGCCACTCTCCACTCCTTGCCTCCTCTTTGGACTCTGAATTTGTTTGCTCAGAATTTCAAGTCCCATTAGGTAGGGCAAGGTCTTATTTTTCCTGAAGAGCCATCAGTTAATTCAAACATTAGTTCTGAAACCTTCTCCACTGATGATACTAACTAATCAGAGGAGATTATTGGTACTAGTTGTATTGTGTTAGGCATTGTTAATCCCCTCTCTGAACAGTGCTGATGGTTTAAGATCATTAATTGGTGCATAAATACTTAAGAAAGAAATTCAAAAATAGTGCTGATAATTTAAAAGCAGAGAGAGCTGCTCAGACTAAAGCCATGAATGGAACGGCATTCTAAACTATAATGCAGGACACTAGCAGTTAAGAAACTGTTTGATACGTTGTTAAGGTCTGATGCCACATGCTTTCATCATAGTGCTGCCAGGACTTGACTCTCACAGTTAACAAACTACATGGCATCTAGGAATCAGACAAGCCTTCTGAGGACTGCCACTGGAATGACTGTTACAGGACAGAATATAGTTTTGTACGGCACCTTTCATTCTCTAAGGGAGCTGAAGTGCTTTACAGAGCAATGAGATAGACTCCCATAGTGCAGCTATTGTGCAGACAGAGATAGAAAATGTTATGCACTCAACAAATAGCTCAGTTCCTAGCCTTAGACATTAGAACATATGTGGTAGGACCTGTTCCTTCTAGGAAGTACTGAGCACCCTCAAATATAATTGACTTCAAAAGGAGCCAAGGGTTCTGTCCTGTCCTCTGCTCTTTCCAAAATATGCTCTGGAATCTTTAATTGCCACCTTGGCTGCCAACAGATGTGGATAATAAGGACATTATTAATTAATAATATCGACTCCTGTATAAGATAGCACTTCTAACAGTACTAAAGCGTCTTTCATTCCTGGAACTAAAGTATAGTGTCAAAAGTCAGCAAGAGTCCAAGTCCCTGTGTGAGACCCAAACCCTGTCATCAGTCTGAGTGAAAGTGCTGCCGGCATGAGTATATTGGTCCCAGCTGGCCACAAGTTTTTTATTGAAACTTTTGTTTCGATGGAAAATTGGATTTTTGACTAAATGAAAAATGTTGGGGAAAATGTCTGTCTTCCTCTGAAAAATGACAATTCTTTGAAGAAAATCAAAAGCAGAATATTTTTGGTTTTCAGCCAAAATATTTTCAGGTTGTGTTTTTTGACAGAGTAAAATTTTTCCACTGTTTTTTTTTTCATGGTAATTCCCCCTTCTCCCCATTTCCCCCCAGCTCTAGTATTGACACTGCAAAGCCTATTGCCCAACACATTAAACTGAAACCTTTATTCTGAAACAAACCAAGAAGCAGAAAGGGTACATTTATGGAGGGTGGAGTTTGATAGAATTTAAATGATAAAGAAGAAGATATGAATTATAAAGGTGATTTGAAGGATGATATGCTGCAGGAAAAAGCAGAAAAGATCTATTCAAACTGATTGGCATGTTGCCTTGTCAAACATGCAACCATAAACAAAATCAGTACATATGTGAGACTATCTGCAGAGCATTTCACAAGGTCAGACAGTAGAAATGTGGAAGAATCTGGTAACACTTATCTGTTCAGCAAATATACATTTTGAGCTCTGTAGTCAAATTGGTGCTATGACAACCATGCTAATGATGACTTCCAATAAAGCGTGCAATCAAAGCATTGCATCTCTTTGTTGGAGATAGCAGGACCATTGTAAAGAAAATTATATATTTGGATGATAGTTGGAATACCTGTAGTGCACACATTTTTCTCAAGATGACACCAGTCCTATAGTATAATGTATACAGTACTTCAGATCTGAAAGCAATAAAACATCCATTGTCTGTCAGATATGGAACCCACCAACCCTCTGTTCCAGTATGGATTTGTGCCATCTGATGCATGGTAACAATTAAAGATACCCAAGCTGGCAGGTAAATGGTTTCTATTGTGTTCTTTCTTATCACGGTATCAGAGAGAGACCAGCCATTTGAAAAGATGTCAGTCCACAGCATACAATGTAATGTACTTCTTCGGTAGCTGTGGTGATTTGTAAGTCCTTTCAAATAGGGTTTTGTTATTGTTGCTGCTGTTTATTATTGTGCTGTGATGATAACCACATGACACACATTAGTTTGGCTGTAATGATTTCTTTCTTCTGGCTACACTGATGCTTTCAGGACTGATAAATGACTGATCAGTCCAGAGTCTGGATTTTAAATGAATGACTAGCTGCCCTTGTTCTATTTATGACTATACACTGACAGTAAAGGGTCCATGTGAGTGGAAGATGTCGGAAAACTCTGTATAATAAATCAAGTTGCATAGTATTATTTTAAATTGTAAATAGTAATAATACTTTGCCCTTAGATAGCACCTTCCACCCAAGGGTCTCAAAGCACTTGACAAACATTAACGGATTCAGTCTCACATTGATGCTTTGAGGCTTAGGAGAGCATTGTTATCCCTATTTCACAGGAGGCTATACTGAGGCACAGAGCAGTGAAGTGACTTTTTGGAGGTCGCTCATGAAGGCTGTGTCAGAGCAGGGTAGAGAACACAGATCTCTGCTTCCCATCCTGTAGATGAATCACTGCATCTTCCATGCTCCTTGAATAGTTTTTTATGCTTTTGTTACTTCTGGCTCTGTCTTTTTAGGCTGGAAAAACATACCCCACATGGCTCTCTACCACCCCCCACCCCCGGAGCCATGCTTCCCTGTCTACACTGCTGTTTTTAGCCATGAGGTGTCCCACTGCCTCACAGCCGCTGGAGCCTTTCCCCATTGCTGGAAAAGGTTTGGGCTGTGAGGAAAGGCTCTGGCAGCTTCCCGCTTCTAGAATCTTCCCTCCGTCAAAGGGAAAGACTGGCAACTCCCTGCTGCTGGAGCCTTTCCCCAGCAGCAGGAGAAGTCTCTGGCAACTGACCTTGCCACCACAAGTGGTGTGTAATGTAGACATAGCCTAAGACAGTCCTATGGCTCCTTCGTGCTGCTCTGGTGGTAGAAAAGAGCCTTTTGGGAAGATAATCCTCCATTTGTAAGGACAGTAGATGCACAGAATGGGATAGCAGTGAAGCAGTGCAACACTCAACAGTTTCAACTCCCATGGTCTCAAGTGGCCATTTTCTTTGTTTTCACTCCACATGAGCTCGCTCACACACTCTGAGTTTTACTTTGAGTTCTGGTCACTAAAGATTCCCCTTCTTCAGAGGAATCCTTGGATAGCCTGGAGGTTTTTATGCCCCACCATCCCCATGCCAACCCTTGGCTGCTAACATGGACTAATCACCAGGGCATCCCTGCAGTCAGCAGCTGGAACAAAATAGAGCAGCCACTAAGTTGTTCTAATATTCTCTGAGGCCTGGACCCACACGGAGTGGCCCTTAGTCAAAAGATCAACTTTGCACCCTCTTTCCCCCTTTGAAGCCCCCATCCTCAGGTGCACTAAGCACTCCTTAACTTCAGCTGAGGGGTTGGCCTATTATTTATCATTTGTTAAGCATTCATGGTGTGTTTGATGCTGTGCATGACCCAAATATCACCACAGTTTCTGCCCTTAGAGACTCGTGCTGTAGAGGTGAGAGTGCAAGACAAGACCCAGAGCATGGCAGTCATTTGAAATGATTTGCTTGTACTTATTGATTGTACTTCTTTTTCCTGTCATGGTCCGGTAATTTTTCATTTTGGAAGCAAAGAGTCTGTGGGAGGGATTTGCATGAGTAGAGGGTGGAGTCATGGTACATGAATTTTGGGAGGGCACTTCCTGCATATGGAACTGCTTTGGAATAGGCGTGAAAGATGGGAATGGGATAAGGAAATAAGGGTTCATACGTGCAGCTGCTTCTGAGGTCAGTGGAAGTTTTGTACATGTGTATCCGAAAGCAGCCTTGATTGTGTCTCATATGTGCAGCATTGCACGTTGGACTGCATTTTATTGCTCTGACCAGAACCTTATCTTTCTTCCATAAGGGAAATACCTGCTGTGCTTTACAGGTCTCAGTGACAGTCTCACTTTCTCAGCACAGAACTAATATATCAAGCTAATTTATGCCTGTGGTGTGTTGCAAAACCTATATAATATTGAGTAAACATTGTTGGCTTATACATTAACTGTCACTAACACCCTGTGCAAACTTTATTCTGGCCACATGAATTTCTTTTAAGGGGTGGCTCAGAAAAGGGTACTTTTATTTTCCAAGGAAAGCTGGCTCTTAAACTTGACAGATCTGTTAATTTTAGGTCAGGCTAGAGGGCTAGGTCTTTCATTGCTCATATTTCCAGTTAAGGGATTTCTGCTTGGCTTATTTGATCGACTCCTTTTTATTGTCAAGATTCCATAGCATTATATAATACTTGATTTTTTTTTATCCTACTTATGGTGTGAAAATATAGGGCTGGGA